CTAGGCTGTAGCCATTTGGCAGGGGAGGGAGGTGCTGGCTTTGTTGTTCTTTGGGTAGACACGCCTCCTTTCAAGATCTGAATGACTGGGAGAGCTTATAAGAGCTTGTGGGGAAGATTTTTTAAGTCTTGGCATTTCCTGTTGTGAGAAGTCCACTTTGTGCTGAACAAAAGGGGGGAGGGAGGGAGGGAGAGAGAGAGAGAGAGAGAGAGAGAGAACATTGAAGGAAAATATTTGGATGGCTTTGATCCCAATTTAAAAAAATCCTCATGGAAAACTTAATACAGAGATATTAAGTTCTTATGTTTCAGCAAAGAGAGGCTTCGGCAAAGAAGAAACTTGCATTTGTTAGCTAATTGTTAGACTTTCTTTAGAATAAGTCAGAATTTTCCAACTGAAACACAAAAATGACAAAAGAATGCCTTTGTTTGGAAATGAAAATGCTAGGTTTTTTTGAAAGTTATGGTTTTTCAATGAAAAACTAAAAATGTTGGACTAGGGTTTGTTTTTGTTTTTAGTCAAAGATGGGTTTTGGTTGATTTGGATTTTTGAAAGCTGAAAAGTTTTTGCTTTTTTATCAAAAACCTGGAAAATTCCTGTAACAATTTAGAAATGAAATAAAAAATTCTTCCTTAATGTTTTCACAGTAAATACGTCTCCTTTTCTAAACAGCTCTGCTTTGCCAATTTGCAGCCCAGTTAGAGAAATGGAAACTATAACAAATGAGGGTCAGCTATTGCATTGCCCTGGGACAGTTCAGGATTGTCCCTTACTGCATAGCCATTCTCAAACTTTTGTATTGGTGACCCTTCTATCCAGGTGTGTGACACCGCCCCGCCCCCTTATAAATCAAAATACATTTTTAATATATTTCACACTATGGCAAATACTAGAAGCAAAGCAGGGTTTGGAGGAGGAGTCTGACAGCTTACAACCCCCAGATAGTAACCATGTAACCCCCTTAGGGCCTGTAGTCCAGTTGGGGCATGGCTCCTCCCCCTCTGGGTCTGTGGGCTGCTACTTCACCTCACTACTGGGTCCCGCCCCCCAGTTTGAGAATCCCTCTAGGGCACTGCAGTTGTGTACCTTAAGCCTTCCTTCCAGGTTCAGTGTAGATCTGCCCTCAGTCCACTAACAGCTTAGCCCTGCCATATTATCTGTGGGCAGAAGAACCCACATTTCACTTTAGCTGGGTTGTGAGCAGCTGTAAGGATCCACCCATGTGGATCTCTAAGGTGCTACAGGACCATTGTTGTTTTTAAAATTTTGTTAGTTACAGATTAACATGGCTACCTCTCTGAGACTTTCAAAATGGTTATAGTATTACATTCACAACACAACTTTCAATGGCTTTTTAGTCTCAGATATAACTAGAACTAGTACCTATATACATTTTTATATTACCAGATTATTTAATTTACAAAGTACAGCAATGAAGGGAGAACATTAAATCCTTTCTTTTACGAAATTGCAAATATTCCATGGAGTTGCTTCATAGTATCCTACTACAGTTTTCACTTTGTCTATACAGGGCTTTATAGTGTGGCTACTTTACAAAGATACAAGGAATTTAGCGTCTACACTATAGATACAGGCACACATACATTGTCTCATAGATACCGCAAGAGGAAAGTCCAAATCCTGCTTTCACATTAACAAGTACAACTCTCACTGAATTCAGTGTGCTGTGTGCAAGTATCTAAAGTCAATTTGGCTCAATGACTTTAAAGACTTACCAGAAATTATTTCTGATGCAGTAATATTTATAGTATAGATTCTTTAACTATGTAAAGAAATTTCAATGAGGTTCAAGAATAAGGCTCCCTTGGGTCATTAATGGTGCAGGCCAGTGTTTTTCAATTTCAGGCCTGTGGACCCATGTCGTCCACAGACTATGTCCATGAGGGTCTGTAAAAGGTCATTGTTGCCATAGAACAGTGATTTTTCAACTGTGATCTGTGGACAACATGGGGGTCCACAGAGTACATCTAAGATTTCCAAAGGGGTCTGACCTACATTTCAAATTTTTAGAGGTTAACAACAACTCTCTGACTATGGTTATCCAGCCAATTATGCACCCACCTTATCGTGGCCCTATCTAAGTTATATTTGCCTAGTTTATCAATAAGAATATCATGCGAGACCGTATCAAATGCCTTACTAAAGTCTAGGTATATGACATCCACCGCTTCTCCCTTATCCACAAGGCTCGTTATCTTATCAAAGAAAGGTATCAGATTAGTTTGGCATGACTTGTTCTTCATAAACCCATGCTGGCTATTCCCTATCACTTTATTACCTTCCAAGTGTTTGCATATGATTTCCTTAATTACCTGCTCCATTATCTTCCCTGGGACAGACGTTAAACTGACCGGTCTGTAGTTTCCTGGGTTGTTCTTATTCCCCTTTTTATAGATGGGCACAATATTTGCCCTTTTCCAGTCTTCTGGAATCTCTCCTGTCTTCCATGATTTTCCAAAGATGATAGTTAAAGGCTCAGATACCACCTCTATCAGCTCCTGGAGTATTCTAGGATGCATTTAATCAGGACCTGGTGACTTGCAGACATCTAACTTTTCTAGGTGATTTTTAACTTATTTTTTTATTTTATCTTCTAAACCTACCCCCTTCCCACTAGCATTCACTGTTCGGCATTTCTTCATCAGACTTCTCGGTGCAGACTGAAACAAAGAAGTCATTGAGCATCTCCGCCATTTCCAAGTTCCCTGTTACTGCTTCTCCCTCCTCGCTAAGCAGTGGGCCTACCCTGTCCTTGGTCTTCCTCTTGCTTTTAATGTATTTATAAAAGGTCTTCTTGTTTCCCTTTATGCCTGTAGCTAGTTTGATCTCATTTTGTGCCTTTGCCTTTCTAATCTTGCCCCTGCATTCCCGTGTTGCTTGCCTATATTCATCCTTTGTAATTTGTCCTAACACTCACTTACCTCGCGGGGGACTGTACAATGCTTTAATAGAATTCACTGGGCCAAATCCTTTCCTTAGACCCCGACCCTGTATAGGTTTCCCTTTTATGAACAGTCCCACTGGCTTCAACGGAACTTCCCACGGTGGGTAATGCTAAACACAGGATCTCAGTTTTTACCCAGTGGGCCAAACTGTCTGCTGGAATAAATCCGGTAAAGTCCCTGAAGCCATGCCAGGAGAGTGTTCGTATCTGCCTCGAGAGAGCAGCCCCCCTAGTGATTACACACGTCAAAGCTCATTTTAGGACTGTCTTCCAATGATAGGTCTGCATTTCCCTTTGCTCACCGGTATCCTGTTCATGGAAATGCCATCTTGAACCACTTCTGAGCAATCTTCTCCCTCCTTGATATTTACACCCAGTAGCTGATAGGGCCTCTTTTCATTTGGAGAAGCAAGTTGTTTGAATCCCTAAAAGAGTGCATCCCTCTTTGCTTCTTAGTGAGTTCTTTACCCCCCTGTTCTCTGAAATCCTTAGCTGCTGACATTTGTCTGGTATCGAACGTGCGCAGTGGGACACTCTGCTATATGTGCCCTTCAGAAGATAAGACCATAAGAGCAGCCATACTGTGCCAGACCAGAGGTCCATCTAGCCCAGTGTCCTGTCTTCCGACAATGGTCTGTGCCAGGTGCCCCAGAAGGACTGAACAGAACAGTCAATCATCAGTAAACAGAATCGTAGGCTTGGAAGAGACCTCAGGAGGTCATTGAGTCCAACCCCCTTCCCAAAGCAGGACAAACCCCTACTACAACACTTGTCACCCATTCCCAGTTTCTGGCAAACAGAGGGTAGGGCACTTTCCCTGCCCATCCTGACTAATAGCCATTGATGGACCTCTCCTCCATGAACTTATCTAGTTCTTTTTTGAACTCTCTTATTGTTTTGACCTTTACAACATCCACTGGCAGGGAGTTCCACAGGTTGACTGGGCGTTGTGTGAAAAAATACTACTTTTTGTTTGGTTTAAACCTACTACCTATTAATTTCATTTGGTGCTGCCTAGTTCTTGTGTTACTGGCAGGAGTAAATAACTTTTCTTTCTCCACACCAGTTATGATTTTATAGACCTCTCATATCCCCCCCTTAGTCATCTCTTTTAACTGAAAAGTCCCAGTCATATCCCCCGCCCCTCGTAATCTCTCCTCACTGTTCCACTGTGCAAACCGACCCTAAACAGACGTATCTGGCTACACAGTTCCACCAGCGCTGGCAGTAAATCCCCCTGATCTACTGCTTCAGAATGGCTCCTTGTTGCCACTGACAGCCAGCATAGGGACCCAGAGCAGCACCCAGCAAGCCCTCAGATTGAGGGAGGGCAAAGATGCTTTTAAAGCCACCTTCATGCCTCCAAGTGCTTCTTGGCAACAGCTGAGCATCTGGTCCTGTGTTCCTGCTTCTTTTTTTTTATGTTTTAAGGAGGTCTCAACCAAATTTCCAGCAGTGATTTTGCAACTGGAAACACTGTGGAATCAGCCCATTCACTTCTCAGAATTCAGAGATATGATGCAAGACAGATTCCATCTTTAAAACAAAACAAGTTGTTTTGCTGGGACAGGACTGTACCTCTCAAGCGATGTTATTTCCTCACCCAGACAATATTGTCATGACAGGAATTCACGTCTCCTGGAAAATGACCACTAAAGGATCCCTTTCTAGCACCCTGCCAAGTTACAGGCATATCTGTACATAGGCATGGGCTAGCTTTAGTCCAGCTAGCAGGCAACATAACAATGGAAACAACCGAGAGCGGGCTAGTGAGTTGAGTACATATTCAGAGTCTGTGCCCAGCTTACCCTGCCTGCACTGAAGCCCACACTGTGCTGTCTTCACTACTTACCAACTGGTTTCAAGTTTGCATCAGTAAGCTAATTTGTGTGCAGCCTTTGTTGGCTCAACATAGCCTGCATAAAGAGATCTTACAGTCTATGGTTGCACTTTACTTGGATATCCATTTTCATATGCACTTCATTTGTGTCCACTGACAGCATAAGCCCATGATGTATCTATCTCCTTTCTCTAGGAAGAAGATGACGATGGTCTTCCTAAGAAGAAGTGGCCAACAGTTGATGCGTCTTACTATGGTGGCCGAGGTGTTGGCGGCATTAAAAGGATGGAGGTAAATAAACATTTTCTTATTAACCAGAAAAACTCATTTGTAAACTCAGCCACAAGATCCTTCTGCAATTTAGCCAGAGGGAAAGAAAGAGGAGGTGTAACCTCATGCTCTGTGGTACCAGTGTTAATTGGAAGAAGCTCCACTGAGGTCAATGGGAATTTATGGAACTTTTGAAAATCAAACCAACCAACACCACACGGAGCACACCAGACCTTCTTAGCCCTCAACACCACATAGTGTGCACCACTTCCCCCAGACGCCAGAGACACATGGAGCGCACCACACCACTCTATCCCCCAGAGATACACGGAGCGCACCAAACCCCTCTGTCCCCCCGAGACACATGGAGGGCACCACACCCCTCTATTCCCCAGAGACACACGGAGCGCACCACACCCCTCTATCCCTCAGAGACACATGGAGGCACCACTTCCCCCAGACGCCAGAGACACACGGAGTGCACCACACCCCTCTATCCCCACAAGACACACGGAGCACACCACACCGCCCAGCCTCCAGAGACACACGGAGCTCACCACACCCCTCCAGCCCCCAGAGAAACACAATGCACACCACACCCCTCTAAGCCCTCAAAACCACACAGAGTGCACCAGGCCCTCTTAGTCCTCAACACCACACAGTGTGCACCACACCCCTCAGCCTCCAGAGACACACAGAGTGCACCACACCCCTCAGCCTCCAGAGACACACAGAGTGCACCACACCCCCCAGTCCTCAGAGTCACACAGAGTGCACTATGCCCTCTTAGCCCTCAGAGTCACACAGAGTGCACTATGCCCTCTTAGCCCTCAGAGTCACACAGAGTGCACTATGCCCTCTTAGCCCTCAGAGTCACACAGAGTGCACTATGCCCTCTTAGCCCTCAGAGTCACACAGAGTGCACTATGCCCTCTTAGCCCTCAGAGTCACACAGAGTGCACTATGCCCTCTTAGCCCTCAGAGTCACACAGAGTGCACTATGCCCTCTTAGCCCTCAGAGTCACACAGAGTGCACTATGCCCTCTTAGCCCTCAGAGTCACACAGAGTGCACTATGCCCTCTTAGCCCTCAGAGTCACACAGAGTGCACTATGCCCTCTTAGCCCTCAGAGTCACACAGAGTGCACTATGCCCTCTTAGCCCTCAGAGTCACACAGAGTGCACTATGCCCTCTTAGCCCTCAGAGTCACACAGAGTGCACTATGCCCTCTTAGCCCTCAGAGTCACACAGAGTGCACTATGCCCTCTTAGCCCTCAGAGTCACACAGAGTGCACTATGCCCTCTTAGCCCTCAGAATCACCCAGAGTGCACTGTTCAGGGTTCCAATAGTGATTTAAATTGCCTTGCTCCCCCTCTCCTCCCATTGGTGAGCCTGCAAAGAGCACAGGCACTGGTTGGGTCCATGCTGGTCTCTGCAGAGTGTAGCTGAACATCATAGTTAAAGGCTGTGGCAGCAGGGGCCCACCAGAGCCTTTCCCCACCGCTGGAGACAGCAGGACATGGTGCTGCAAAAAATAGTTGTGTAGTCATGGGAGGCTCTGCTTGAGTGTGCAGACAGCTGTGTAAGGTTCATACCCTGTGGACTCAGCTGTTAAGGCATCCTATTCTATTCACCTAAGCCATCCTTCACTGTCTACACTGCTAGTTAGACCGTATGAGCCAGGAAAGCAGTTTCTGTGCTCTACACTTTGTGGTAAGTGTAGACGTACCCTTAGAGAGATGTCCAGTCTTAATGTAAAGTCTTCTAGTGATGCCACATCCCATAGCGAGGTGTTCCAGTGGGCTAGTAGCCCTTGTTCCACTGGGAAACTGCAGAGTAGCCAGAGTATACTTAAGGAACGGGATGAAGCTAGCCCCGTGTAACTGCATTTTCTGCCAATCTCAACTCAAGCATCTGGTCCTGTGGCTCCAGTGGGACTGCATGCCTGAATGAGGACATCCCACATGGTGCCTGGCTTCAGAATCAGGTTTTAAGTAAGGAAAGACACCAGGATTCTGCGTAATAATTGTCTTCTCTGAGGCAAAGGATCCTCTCCAGTTCTAGGAAACTCAGTATTTACATGTGCCAATCCTTGCAGAGATTGGAGGGAACTGAAACCTCAGATCCCAGTATCCAAATCCTCAGCTGGTCCTTCTCTCAACACTGAAACTGGACAATGGGGAAATATAGATCCAGAAGACAGGATGCTGGGCTAGATGGACCTTTGGTCTGACCCAGTGTGGCCCTTCTTATGTTCTTATGGCACCATGTTTTTCTTCCTAGGTCCGCTGGGGAGAAAAAGGTTCCACAGAAGAAGGGGCCAAGCTAGAGAAAGCCAAGAATGCCAGAGTGAAGATGCCAGAGCAAGAATATGAATTCCCAGAACCCAGGAATCTGGGGAACAGCATGCGCAGGTCCTCTTCTCCCCGGAGGTGGTACACGCCAATCAAGGTAGGACTCAGTTGCATAGTGCAAAATGATGTCAGTAGATCCATGTTAAATATTCAGACAACCTTGTGGAGTTTTCATGTGCAAAGGCTAAAGTGGTTACTGCCTTTGTGTTAAGTCCCCAGACTCATGCCTGGGAATCCATCCAAAGGCTGCTCTAACTTGCACAACGCACCTATGGCCGAAAGGGTGGTTTGGTATAAAGAGCCCCAGCTATGCGTCTTTCCTCCCACTATGCTACCTGAAGCTTAACCTCCACTGGCCCTTGGTAAACAGGGCCAGATCAGCTCTTCTGGGGACCTGGGGCCAGTAGATTTTGGGTGGCTCCCTAGGCTTTGGGGTGGGCCAAAATGAAGGGTTCAGTGTGTGAGAAGAGGCAGCTTGGGTGTGGAGTGTGGGTTCTGGGCAGGAGGGAGTGTATGGGAGGGGCAGAGGATTGGGACACTTACCTGGTGCAGATCCTAGGGGGGAACAGGTAGCTCCATGCGACCCTGCGCTTGTCAGCACTGCCCTCTGCCAATCCCATTGGCTGGGAATCACAGCCAATGGGAGTGGCTGGAATGGAGCCTGCAGGTGAGTGCTACTAATGGCAACACACAAAGCTCCAAGCAGCGGGGAGGGAAATGCCAGCTCACATAGCTGTTTTACCCACCTCTCTCAACAGAATTTTTTCCACAGGGGTTTTTTTCAAGGGGAGCAGTGTGGAGGCAGGAAAAGGGAAGAAGGGAATTTGTGTACAGACATCTTGGTCTTGTTAACAAGAGAGCAAGAGTCAGGCTAAGTCTGTGGCCTGACAACGCGAGATCTGGAATTAGCTGCTGCCTTTGCCTCTCAGGAGATAAGGATAGAATGCTGACTCTGGCAGGGACCTTGAGATAAGGAGCATCTGGGTGGAACTAAAATAACTGTTAGCCATTGGTGTTTGTAATGGGAAGGAGACTAATTGTTATTGTTATTATGTCTAATGGACAGTATATAAACTGCCTCATAATTGCTTGTATTCGAAGATCTGCCGCCCCCCCTCCCCCTCCCCGTCCGAACCAGTTTTTCCCTTGCTGCAGCTCGTAATAAAACTGCCTCTGGCTACTTGTTGCTTACAAACTCAGAGTGAGGACAATGTTTTCTTCCACAGGACTGTTCAGTATTTTTGCTTAAACCATCTGGCAACCCTACGGGCAGAGGCTGCTCCAGCCTACATGGCATAAAATACACTGAAACAAGGCACTATTATACTGGCATATAGGTGCCACATCAAGGTGCTCCTGGAGTGAAATTTGTCAGTGCTCCAAGAGATGCAACTAATTCAACCTAAATGTTAAGTGTTGACTAGACCTAGGTGTGTGATATCTCAGGAAAAATCCCCGGGAGGATGCTCCTGAGTCTCAACCCATTTCCCCCACTACTGCAGAGTCCAAGTTGAACATTGGGAGATTTCTGACTAATTTCCAAGTTTGAGCCACTCTCGTTCATGTGGTATGAAGATCTGGATCCTAGCAATGTTCGGCAAAGCCTTGAGGAGAAACTGGGTTCATGTTTAGGCCCATTCTTCTACTAAGAGAAGCTTTGACTTAAATAATAATACTAAAAATTAATGTAAGCATTCCAGACAGGGATTATTAAATATGGTCCCTAAGGAGTGTGCATGGGAGGTGGGGGACTATTTCTCTTTGAAAATCTAAACCTTCAGTCTTCAAACTCCATGTAAACTACCGAAAGGCCCAAACAAAACCCCTGATCTAAATGCTCTTATACACTGGGGGAGGGGTGTTTAACATCTGGACTGAATTCAGTGGCTTGAGCCCATCTGTAGAAAAGTCTTCATGGAGTTATTAATCTCCACCACACCCATCACCACCCATCACTGGATTACCCCCGAAAGACGATGTATGCAGACAGAATATGTGCATCCAAGACTTTCCCTGAATACAATCCATGAGAACGCAGCAGAAAAGAAGGAACGATGTCTGGGGACGTGAGGTTCTGCTCTTCCCATGCTGTAAGAAACATTTCCAGCATCCCACTCCACTCTCAGCAAAATCTTTTCCCTGGACAGCATGACCTTACTGAGATGAATTTGCATTATGTCGTGCAGGGACATTCTCACATAATCACCACAGTCAGAGGTGGGAAAGATCTATTAGGTCATTAGGTCCACACACCCAGCCAAGGCAGGACTGCTAACTCAAGTGTATCCTTCAGTGCCTTTTCCAGTATGCTTTAAATTTA